TCCTGGAGGAAATGGGAATGTGGGTCCCCAAAGCCCCCAGAGCCGTGGCCTCTGCTCTGCAGAGCATGGCCCGGAGCAGGACAGGGGCTCCCTGGCCACGCGGAGGGACAATGAGTGACTGCCTGGAGACACTGTCCTGGAACATGAGGATATCCGTGGCAAACGTGAAGGGATCCCCGTGGGGAACACCACAATCCTCGCTTTTATTGAGCGACACGGACCCAAGCTGACTAACCCGGCTCAAAAACACGACGGAGACGCCTTAGATGGGCAGTTCTGTAAGGACGCTGCCTCGGTACCAGCAGCAGTGAAACCAAAACACAACCCAGGTTTAACCGGGACGTGGCTCCCGGGAAGCTCCCTGTGCGGATCCGGCACGGGAGGGAGCAGCTGGCGCCGGCAGCTGGCGGGCTCGGCGCAAACAAAAGGCACCGGCTCTGCGGGCACCGGTAATTAACACCCGGGGCGGAGCCGCGGGACACGGCCGCGCACGGAACAACTCCGCTGAGGACTGTTAAACGCGTGGGCACCACCTGTATCCCAGGAAGCCCTCGCACGGGATGGAACCGGGAGCTGCTCGGGGCTCCTTGCTCCCCTCCTCTCGCTGCCGAGCTCGCCGAGACGGAGCCGCAGGACGAGGCCACCAATGTGACACCGGTGGCGGGGACGTCCTTGCTCCGCACCAGCGCAACTGCCGCTTGCAGCGGAAACCAGATCCAGGCCTCCGTAGTTCTAAGTCACCTACAGGACTGAAAGGCATTTGGAGTCCACGGCTTGAGGGCTCCGTCTGAGCAATCCTCCCTCTCCAGCAGGTCTAACCTGGGGGGCGCTGCCTTCGGAAGCACGGGAAGAGCATACACAGCGCTTGCTTTAGAGTCTGGAATTAGCTCAGGAACAGAACACTAATGAGTGGCCTGGCCAGGAGAGCTTGGCTGGGTTCTGCTGAGCGAGCAGGGATGCAGGCAGGGGGACCTCCCGAAAGCACCAGCGCGGCTCACGCTGCCTGTCTGCCATTGCGGCGCGCCAGTAAGAGCAGGTAGCACCTCCGTGCTGCAGCGAGCGCGCCCGACCGCGGAGCAGAGCGGCTGGAGGCCCCCCGCATCGCAGCCTTGCCCAAACCACCTCGGAACGCCTTGCAACCAGATCCCCAGGGCCGCCAGGGCCCTGTTTTCCCCAGGCACAAACCTCACTAAAAAGCCTCTCATCTTCTCCTCGTCCCAATGCGCCGATCCCTGGCTCATCAGGCTGCACTTTTTCAATGCACATAAAGGTAACATTTTCAGGAGTTTAAAACCACCTCTGCTCTACCACAAAAAACATTTTTTTGAGCAATAAGGCTTTTTTTAAATACCATATTTACTAACAAAAGAGACCTTTTTGTTGCTTTAAGACGCTAAAGCCACCCTGCTCTTAATCATATCTGAGTATTATGGAATAGGAGTAACTTTTGTCATTCGGTTGCTAACCTGAGAATAAATAAGTCTTGAATGGTATGAATAAACAAGCTCTTGAAATGACCAGATACACTTCCAGGGAATGCAGATAACCCTCCTCCTGCCCTCACAGATCATCAGTATGAAGAAGGGATTGGAGGAATTATGTCAGAAGCTCTGTAAGTTATGAATAACATGGAAAAAACGATTTGTTCACTCTCCTAACATACAAAGTAAGAGGCACCTATCGAGTCATCTGGCAGCAGCTTGAGACAGGAGGTGGTTTTGCTGCACGCAGGACCCAGGACTCTGCATGGACGGACGGAGGGATTCCCGGCCCTGACACTGCCACGAGGCCCCTGGGGTCGCCACGGCTCCCCAGAGTGGCACAAACCCACCGTTTTTTCCCCCAAAGCAGCAGCCCCGAGGCAGGAAGGGTTATTCCACGCTGTCCCCACAGCCGCCGTTTCTCCATTACACACGAGGTGCCCAAGAGCCGGGCGCTTCAATCCCGTATCAGTTCACCTTACAAAGCAAGTTCAGCAATGCCAGAACACTCAGGTTCATGCACCAGTTGATGCAATTAGGAGAACTCACTCTTCCTGGAGCCCATAAAGAAGAGACGTCTGCCTACATTAACTCAGAGTTCACTCAGAAACCTTCCACCTTAGCGTCTCCCGTTCATCGTTCCCTTGAGCAGCCGGCAGCTCTGGGAACAGGAGCTCGCTGCGAGCCGTGCAGCGTCGTTCCCCAGGCGGCTTTTTTTGATGAGCTGCTCCAGAAAAATCCCAGGTTCCCAGCAGTAACACGGAGCTCCTCCTCAGTGTCCTATGCAGGGGGCTGTGACGCCCACATTTAACGTCACTGCAGTGACCTGGCCTGACAGAGCTGCTGCACTGCAGCCACTGATTCCCCTGCCAAGAGGGAGCCCTCAGGCTGGGTGACGCTGCGGAGCCCGTCCAGGACACGGAGGAGGGGACACTGTGCAAAAAGACAGCTGCAAAGGTGGCCTGGACCCTGCTGAAAGGCTGGGCCCCGCTGAGCAGAACGAGGCCTGCAAGCGCTGGCGCTTGGGGGTACCGAGGCGGCCCTGGCGCAGGGACTGTGGCCTGCTCCAGACAGCGACCAAAGCGCGACCCAGAGCCACTCACCTCGCGGCCCGGGAACCAGATGCCACTTGGGTTGAGTTATTTTAACATCAACATCTCAGCCCGTGGTGGTAATTAATTTCAGATGGAGATCACTCCCCTGAAAAACGAGCACTCGGCAGGTCTTTAACCTATTGCTTGCAATGACCAATAAAATTGACTTCAGATGATCTCAAGCAGTGACTAAGCTCATAAAAAGCAGCAGCGTAGATAAAACACACAGATCCCACATTATACTCAGCATTACAAGCCATCAAAGCAATTTTAAGATCAAGCTGAAGTTTGACTGGGAGCCAGCGCGGCCCCCGGGGAGCCGCCCGCCATGTGGAGGCCGGGCAGCGAGCGCCGGTGCTCTGGCCGCCGGCTCCGCAGCAGCTGCGCTCGAGGCAACCTTTGCACAGGAAGGCCGTAAAACAACACATTACAATTGTCCAATTTAGAGGTCATAAAAGCCCGGACCACAGCCTCGGCGCGGGCCTGCAAGAGCCGGGGATCAGCCACCAAAATCCAGGTAGCCAGGCCAGGAGCGGCCCCGCGGCAAGCGGCCCGCGCCGCAGCGCAGTGCCCGGCTTCCACGCGGGCTGGGCTGCTTCGCGGCCCCGGCAAAGCTTTAATTACACACGCGCAGCCTTCGCTCCATAAAAACAGGCTCGGTGGTAACGGAGTTGCAGGAACCTCATTTCCCTTCTGCAGGGCAAGCTGCAGCCACCTCCCGTTTGAAGTGGCAGATGCTCCAGCTGATGCTGTTGAGAACACACCTGCATTAAAGGCAAGCTTTAATTTATTTTTTATTTATTTTTTATTTTTTTCTTACTTAAATCACAAAGAGCAGCAGATTGGACGGCCTCTCACCATCACCCCCATCCCTTTGCTCCCAGCAAGGCTGGGGAACATTTGTGGCAACAGATGGACCTTCCTCCGTGCACGACGCAGGGAAAAGGGGTCTGGCGAGGCTGGAGCCCCAGGTAATTGGTGGCTGAGATTCCTGCAGCACACGAGGAAATGGGCGGATGGAAACCCTGCTAATGGGATGCAGGTGCCGGGGAGGACGGACGGCTCCGGCCCCGCGCATTCACGAATGCCAGCTCCTGCCATCCCACGTTTCAGCAGGGAGAGCCTCTGCGGCGTCAGAGGAAGTAAAACCAAAACGAAGAGCTCGCTTTGCTCCAAGATTTACTGCGGCTCTTCCAGGACCCCCTGCCTGGACAATGATGTCTCATTTACGAACCTGAGCACATCACTGTTTAACTCCTTCCACCGTGTTCCCGTATATTTTTAAAAGGAAACCTGGCAATGCACCACGGCAGCACTCGCTCCTTCCAGGCGGGGAGCAGCGAACCGAACTGCAGAGCCCCAGCAGAGCCGAGGGCCACAGTGTCCCCGTACCCGCACCGCGATTAACGCTCGTGCTGCTCCTTTCGGTGCCGTGGAGCCTCCGGTGGCTCCAAGGAGGAAGGGGCTGTGCAGACGCTCTCGGGGGGAGTCTCTCACCCAAGCCAAGGGCGCTGCTCAGCCCTAACGACCACGCCAGCCTGTGAGGGGGTTTGCACATAGGGAACAAAAACATTAAATGGGGAGAACGGCGCAGCGATCCCGCTGCTCCGGGGCCGCAGAGCAGCTCGCATCGCTCCCTCCCGCGCGAGGCCGCAGCGAGCGGACACAGGCTATCACGGGCTCGCAAAGCGAGCGCACAACACAAAACACCGGGCCAGCAACCTCGCAGAAGATCTCCTTACAAGTTTTACTTCTTTGCTGGATAGACGGGGCCTCACTTTTTCCACAACGGATCCACAAAACCGTTGCTGTCTCGGAGCTGCCGAAAAAGGGTAAGGAGAGAAAGAGGGCTGCAAAGCTGGAGATCCTCGCAAGCCAAGCGGGGCTGTCCTGCTCCTCACCCTGCAAACGGCTCCCGTTAACCAGACCCCGGAGCTGGGAGGGCTGCTCCTAATGAGGCTTTTCCGAGCGCGGCGACTGAACCTGGAGAGCGCCGGGCTGGCTTCCGCGCGGCCTAGCTCAGCTCTTCCCTTGCCTAACGCTGATGGATTCAATCTTTTCAACAAATGCTCTAATGCAAACTCAATCCCCTTAGGTGAGCGCCGAATGATAATGTATGTGTTGCTTTTGGAGGCCTGAAGCCATAAAGAACGTTACGTGGGTCAGAATCATCCGGTATGATTTACTGGGGGGCTGCATACGGTAAACTACTTCTGGTGAGGAGGAATTACACTGCAAAAGGCCAAGTCCTTGTGTCTGTTTAGATTTATTTTTATCAAGAGAAACTTTAACGTTTAAATTCTGTTAGCAGCCGGGGCCTTGTAAAAGCGGCGGGGCCTCGACAGCAGGGTCTGGGCCGGAGGAAGTGCTCTCAGCGTCCCCGGGCAGAGCTTCCCGCGCCGAGCCAAAGCCAACGCGGTCCCTGAAGGAGACACGGAGAAAACGCATAAAAACAGGTGCAGACACCACGGCTCGCTCGCTGCTTTCAACAATCTGTTTAAAATTAAACTTACGGATACGCTTTGGCTCCTGCCGGGCTTGAACGGAGCCGGGGAAGCAGCGGGATGCGGCAGCCCCCCGGCTCCCCCGTGTGCCCCGCGTGGCACGAGGGCCGCTGCGCGAGCCAGGGCTGCACTTTGAGCTTTCCTTCCTGCACACAAGCGAGCTCGGCAGAGCAAGCAGCCCGAAACGCGGAGGCGACGGCTCCGCTCGCGAGCAAGACAGCGGCTTTGGGTCCGCCGCGCGCCTGAAGTCGCGATCGGGTTGTCGCCCTTGCAGTGTTGGTGACTGCTGCCATGCTCGACCCGGGCAGAGCACCGGGGAGCTGCTAGGGCACCGCGTTCCTATAGGAGAGACGCGCACAAGCACAGAAGTCCCAGTGCCATCACAACTATGGCTCTGCTAAAACACTCTCCTCGCAGGACGCGGAGGATCGCAGGACGCGGCCGGAGCAGCGTGACGTTAGCCCAGGGCACCCTGACAGGTGCCCGCGTGCACCGAGTGCCACCTTCGAGTGCAACCGTCTGCTAAAAATCGAACTATTTCCAAGCGAAAAAGCCCAGGAGAAACCACGTGGCTCACATGAGGCAGCGCTTCAGAAGCTGAGAGTGCAGAAGCCAAAAAATCTGCAGGAATCGCAGGGCAGTGACGGGCCCAACTCTCAGGGCAATTCCTAAGCAGCTTTGCTCCAGGCACCGCTGGAGCCGAGCGCTCCCTGCCCAAAGGCTGAGGCCAGCGGATGCTCTCGCCCACGCTGCGGCACTTGGGCTTCCTCGGGTTCTTCCCATACCGGGTTCTTGTGATTTTTTGTTTTTCCCATTTAAGAATACGGGCGCACAAACAGAAACCCAATTCGAGGCCTTCGCTGTGGCTCGTTCCGCCACGGCCAGAGCGAGAGGCGATTCCGGCCGGGCTCCTCGCGCAGGAGGCGACGGGGCCCAGGATGATCCCGCGTATCCCCTGCCAGGAGGTGACCCGGAGAACAAGTAGATCTGCTGCTCCAGCTGCCGGAATGGCGGGAGACCCCGAGAGCCTCCTCCTTGGAGCCCATGCTGCAGCAGCGCTTGGTGCCGACACCGTCTCCCCTTTCTGCTTTGTTTTTAGAGCTCTGCAGGCCCGGAGAGGACCTGGAAGACGACAAGCCCTGTTTGCCAGAACAGAAGCAAGAAAAAACGCACGTGTCGAACTGAAACAGGCAGGAATCCCCCCTGCTCCAGGGACGCAAAGCGCGAGCCGCGCAGCACAGCTCAGTAGGGATCACACTGCACTTCCCACGGCGATACCCGACCCGGACCTGCAAGAAGACCCCAAAGCAGCTCTCCCTTGCTGGCTTCAGCCCGGGGCATTTTCAATATGCCACAAAGACCGCTGACAGAATGTAAGTTGCGGCCACAAACTTTTTTCTTTTTTAAATGCCAAAGCAGCTTAATACAAGTGGCACTTGCTGTGTTCAGCTAAGAGGGAACCCTCCCGCCCCCAAACTCAAAACACATCTTTAGATAGGGAGGAAATAAACAGCAAGAGTGATTCCACCCACGGACGGGAGCTGCCTCCTGCCTACTCCGGGGCCACTGGCCTTTGGCCAAAGGGACTCTCTGGTGACTGCTAAAGCACAAGCCCCTTGTGACACAGAGCTCCTTCCCACGGGAGGAAAACCCTGCAGCTGGATCACTTAAACTCCATCACATTGGGCCAGGCCTGCCCGATGAGGGGAAGGAGAGGAGGAAGGCCAGGAAGGCAGCTGACACCTAACCCTTCCCAGACATTCCTTATTGCATGAGCGCTTCATACCGGAGCGCCGGGGAACACCCCAACCCGCGAGGACCAGAGCTCCGCCCCCTATCCTCAGCTTGGGCTTCCACACAGGAGGGACACGGCGGCATTCAGCATCCCGATCCTGCAAAGGATTCCAGCTCCTCCCGTCCCGCACGGCTCACCATGTTTCCCGACTCCCGCATCGCTCCTGTCTCCGAGGTTTGTTCCGTATTTCAGTTCTCCCACTCCCGACACGAGGACTGGACGCATTCACGTGGCTGCAGGAGGACCCAAGTCCCCTCCAGAGCCGACAGGTAACCGAGGCCCCGTATCTATAATCGCTACTATCAAATGAGAACGAATACAAGGTCTTTTGGTCCCACTGCAAGCTCATTTTCAGAAAATTGCCATTCTTCTTCCTTGGGATTTTTACATTTGGTCAAACACATGGGATTTTTGCAGCAAAAGTAACCTGCTTCTGACTCCTAGATGAAGAAACTCAGGCCTTGAGCTGAAGGCCATCTCACCCAAGGGGCTCTGGCTACCTCTTGGACTTCTGAGGGCCATTTCTAGAAGCCAGGACCATTAAGCACCATGCCAGGGAGTCTGAAGTGAGGCGTATTTCTGCGCAGAAGCTCGGGGAGATCCCCTTTAACAAACCCCTTCACGATCAGCCATGCCCAGCCCTCCCTGCCCCTGGCCTCCCCCTGACTGACTGGCAGCTCCTCGCACATCTCTGCTCCCTCGTGGGACCG